CTTTAGTCCTCCTATAAACAACATTTTTTGACAAGTTTGGACAAGTTCAAGAGGTCTGCTTTATTTCTTAACTTTTTAAATTCATTTTGGTTTTTTGGTATTTAAAAAAAATTATTAATTTTTTTTTCTAAATATACTATGCCGATGTGAGAAGTGCGCCTTTAATATCTCTTTATAAAGAGCTTAGTTTCGATTGACGTAAATTAGCCCAATAATACTTTTACTTTCACATCCAAAAAGAAATAAAATAAAAAAATTTAACTATTTGTACTCACAAATTGTTCATAAATAAATTTTTGATCCATCCCAAATATAGCAATCTTTTGATATGCAACAACGGAAGAGGATTGTACTATCACCTTAACTTTAATGGAAGTAGCATGATTGTTTAGGAGTTTCCTTATACGTGGGGATTAGAAAAGTCTATATTGTCCGAGATAGAATTAATTAGTACCGATTGAGTATGGAAACGACTTGGTGGTCAAATGTAACGAGGATTTTGTTTCCTTGACGTGGCTGAATATGGGCATTATAAATAGACCTTTATGCTATGTAGAGAAATGATTTGTGGTTCTTTTTTTTTTTTTTAATCAAATGGAGAGCCTTAGCTCTAGACATAGAATTAACTATTACAGATTCTTAGAAAAGTTATTCCTCATATATCCTCACGAAGGATTTTGGCACAATCACTTTGTGCTTAAGGAAAATATGTGATACCGAGTGGTAAAGAAAAAGCATAAGTTACTAGCCTATTTGCCAATCTATTCATTTCTCTATAAATATGAGTCGACTATACCTATCATTCTTTTATCAAAATCGTCTTAATTGCGGTAATTAGAGATCTATAAGTACCCATCCTCTTTGTGTACGATTGAATAACCTAAATGGCCAACAATGAGTTTGTCTCTACAAACAATTGTTGATAACCTATGTTCCAAGTCATCTCTAGACCACATAAAATACCTCATAACTCAAGCACAAAGCACATAACACACTCCAATATTGTGGGAAAACTATTCAACCAAGTAACCATTGGAATCCCTAAGGACCCCTCCTAATGCAAAGCTTCCCTCATTCAAGCGCAATGCCCCATCCGCATTGATTTTCACTCGACACCTTGCTGGAAGTTTCCAACTAATCGAGCTTTTCTTATCGAAACTAAAGTATTTTGCCCAAATTTGCAACCATTGACACATTATTCATTATATAAGAAGTAAACTAAAAAATAATATTTATCGGACTATTAGGCAACACAAACATATCATCAAACTATCTTTTATTTCGCCAAGACCACAAGAACCAGCAATAAGTCTCCAACCAAGTACTCCATGGCACCACCCTCATAAAAAGATTCTCGGTGTAATTAAGGTTGGACTCTAACCGATCCCTTAAACCCAACTAAAAGAAAAGCCGAACCCTTTGAATTGCTCCACATTCCGTCCACGTTTGCTGAGCAAAAAATAGTCACGAAGAACATGCAAAGTGGTTTTGGGAATTGAAATACATACCGAGCAGGCGTTGACTATGCTCAAATGGTGACGTTGTCTTTGAGCATTGGTGAGAAGACAATCCCGTGCGGCTAGTCATAAAAAGCTTTGTATCCTTTGAAGGCTTATCCATCTCAAAATCGGATCCCAAAACCTCGAGTTATTGTCAATGCTTAAAGAAGAAACTGCCGAATAAGCAAAGCTGGTGAAAAAAGTTCCATCACTTGTGTAGGCCCAACAAGGAATATCTTCCCCATAAGTAAATTCGGGTTGAACCGATCCCGCAATTCTCAAAACAATGAATGATGGAAGTTGATGCACAAATTTCTCCTACAACCAAGCTCCTTCATCCGAGACATACTAATTAACTCGTATCATTTAATAAGGCTTCAAGCATCGAAGCGATAATTAGTTCCTACAAATGACAGAGACTTGACAACCATTTGTCTACCCAAAACTTCACTCTATTTCCATCTCCAATAGACCAACAAACACTCTCACAAACATGGCTCCATACTCGACTATCGCTTCGCCAAAGATTAGACGCATCATATCTCCGAACCGAGCCTAGAAGACTACTTTGATTGATAAAACTTTTGATATGTTTTTTTCAATATTATAATTCTTTATGCTTTGCTTAAAGCATGTTCCGTATTCTTGAACTAGATCAATCACGATTGTGATACCGATCAATCAAAGCTAACTAAAGAGTGTAATGGAGTTTTAAATCTAGCCAAATTTATCTTATTTGAATCACCTGGTTAGATTGAAGTGGGATTGGAAACAAGCTTACCAAAATCAATCAATATCTAATATTTTTACTACTTGAAAGTTTCAACCTACTCAATGTCAAGACTGAAATTTTTGTTTCATTCATCAACTTGAGAAGCAAGGTTTACAGATTTCTTAATTCTTTAAGAGATTCAATTGGACAGCAACAAAAAATAACATGGAAGTATTCAGCTTGGTTTAATTCTTCAAAAAAAAAAAAAAAAAAACGATGTCATTTTGCTTTCTACTCTTGCAGATTTTTTATACTAAAATTATTCAATATAAATTATATTAGTCATTTTATTCTGGACAAGTAATTAACGTTTGCTTTCTTGTTATTTGAGGAAAAATATCTTGCTTTATCAGTTTAATTTTTTATTAAAACAAGTTATTATAATAATGATCCAGATTTTCATACCTTGTAAATTAAGAATAAGATTAAAAAGACGTCTTCAACATCTAATTACAGCTTGTGATACCTTATAACATTTTTTAAAAATAATAAGGCAGGTAGGTTATTGATTCTAAACAAGGATTGAAATTTTGAAATGTTTTCGCTTCTAGGAAAAGCCATTTTTCTTTGCTTATTCTTATATTTAATTTGTTGCTATTCTTTTTCTTTCTTGTTTTTTTTTTTTTACTCACACACCGAAGACTCTTAACGTAACTAGTCTTATTCCGTTAAAATTTAAACTCGTAGCATCTTGTTGCAAGAAACCATTCTTACTCGGGTTATAAGCTTTTTAGTTTAAAAAAAAAAAAAATCATCCACTCACGGAGGCTTATCAACAAAAGAATAGTATAAATATATTGGCACAACAATAAATCATCATTATATATATTTTTTTATATTATGATGCTTCTTAATTTTTCATGAATAATTTGTTCAAAGACTATTGATATTTTGACCAATAGTATAGAGAGTTTGATATCTATTACTTTTTAAAAATTAGATAGAAACCTAACGTAATTTAAAAAAAATTAATTTTTACCTCTAATTTTTTTAAAAGAACTATTTATACTGAATAATTTATTTTAATGCCTTGATACATTTTGCCTTAAACTTTTCATATCTTCCCCTTCAATCCATCACGAAATTACAATATGTCGGGCTTGATTTTTCACCAGTGATATTGGGCTCACTACAACTATCTTCACTATATTGGTCTTGTAGTCTATTTTGAATAAAATTTATTTGATAATTAAATTGAAAAGTCATGATGCACCATATTTAAAACAATATGTTTAAAATATATTATATATTAACACCATTTTAATTGCCTCTAGCAGTTGAATAACTATTTTACAAAAGTTTAAATAACTATTTTTTTTAAATACGAAGACTAATTTTTAATTATTTATTAAAAATATCTAAAAATTAAACAGAATTGAATAACAAATATCAGAACTTTTTAAATAGTTGGAGATGTTCTTTTTTTATAAGAAATATATATATATATATATTCAAAAAATTTTGTTTTATTTCACTTTTATTGTTTTTAACTGCTGCTCCTATCAAATTTTGAATTCTAAATAAATAAAAAATTGTTAAAGAATAGGATTTTGTTTTTTACTCTTGCATATTTTTCAATAAAGGTTTTACTGTTTCTGATGTATACTGATGGCTAGCTACTGCAATTTCTGAACAGGCTCAACATGGCCCATTATTTTTCTTGAAAAGAAAGCAAGGTGCCCCTGCTTTCACATTTACCCCCATCAATGATTGTGATAATTTATAATAATGGAAGTATGTCCCACTTATTTTCAGGCTTCATCATGAAATTTCCAGTTCTCAAGTGAATGTCAACACGATCAGCCTTCCCATCCTTAGTTTTACGTCATGTAAATAGTTGCAAAAATAATCGTAATCTCGCATGGTTTTAAATCACGTAAGTCACGCAAATAGTTGTAAAAAGATCGCAACCCTAATTTATTATAATTATAAATAAAAATATTATAAATTATTAATAAATTTATTATAAAATACAAAATCAAAAATATCTTTTCTAAAACAATAATATATAATATCCCTTATTTAGATTATTATTCATCAAATAACAACAATAACGATCGTTATCATTATATAATATTATTTTTATCATTATTTATCTGAAAGATCGTTACCATTATATAATATTATTTTTATCATTATTTATCTGAAATATCATCGATATCTTAATAACAACACATATATATTTAAATGCATTAAATAATAACCATGATATATGTAACGTTCAATATTTGAAATTATAATCCTATCTACGGCCAGAAACCAGAAGCCATAGAAAAATTAAAGCCAACCAACATGTTTCCAGCTTTATCTTAGCTAAAGACAGGAAAGAATAAATACGAAGTTGATGAAATTGATGGTAAAACCAACATGATCTGATTCACTTACAAACAAGATAATAACTCTGTTGATAAGTAAATATTAACTTATAAGTCAGGTTTAATATTTAATGGTCTTTATGATCACTACTTTTAAAATTTTATTTTTAAAATACTGGATATCGAGTTTTAGAAAATGGCACTTAACTCTCACAAAAAAAAAAAAAACAATGAAAATCAACAAAATTTGGGGCAACAAAACAGCTATAATATTTGTCAAAACTCTACATTATATTTGCAAGCTCAAAAGACATGAATGCGATTAATTCATCATCACCAACCAATCTCCTAGCTCTCCCTCTTTTTTTCTTTCCTATTTGAATTCCTCATTTGTCTTCGAACTTCTAGTCATCTTTACTTAGATTTCCTTACAGACTTAGATTTCTTCATTTTGCTAGGCTTATCATCAACGCTTGTCCATGTATATCCACTGGGTATAGCAAAAGGGTCGGTAAGTTGCTGCCCAGCTGAAGAACATTGTCGTTGGTGGTGGTGGTGCTTGCTCGCTGACTGGCTGCTGTTTCGCCGCAACCATGAGGTGGACGTCGACGACGACGATGATGGTAACGATGAATAATGTGTGTCTGATTTTTTATCATCGTCGTCTGCTGATCCTACTCTACTTCCTCCATGCCCACCAAAGTGTCTTGGACTTGAAAGTGGAGTGTAGAATTGTTCCGTTGGTGGTAGCTCAACAAACTTTGTGAATGTTATCACCACCCTTACTGTCGGGACCACCGGAATCGCCACCTGCATCCACCACCACCACCGCCACAATTAAAAACATTTATTTACCAAATCAAGTCAATAAAACAAACTCATAGCTTGCCCACGGTCAAGCATGTTAAAACCACCCATCCCTTCCTCCAGCCCATGATCTTGCCACGTCAGCAGCTGATCGATACCAGCTGACGTGGCACAATCCAGGCGATCCTATTGTTTTCTAGTCAATAAAAGCAATCAGAGGAAAAACAAAAAGGCAACAGACAGGAGGTCGTTGGCTCCATTCCCTGCTTAACAAGAAAAGGAAAAACCTCAGATCATTTGGGTCCCACCCACCATCACCGTCGATCAAATCATAAAGCCAATCACAGTCTCCCACGTCACATCACCGACCATTAAAAAGCCCGCAACCCCACACATTCCTCACAAAAGTGTCTTCTCTACTAATCACAAGACAAGAGAGACTCCTTTTAGCTTTATAACAAGAGCATAATGGGTCCCACAAAATTACCAAAACTCCTGGGTCCCACAAGTCCCCATAATTCTCAATAAACGACAACCAAACCACAGCCACAACAATCAAAACGACAATGCTAGCGAAAATCCAAAATACTTATTAGCCTTAATTAATACTTTAATTACCCAATAATCCTATTCCAAGTTCATTTATATTTCACAACATTACAAGTCAAAAAGAAGAAAACCTAACCAGACAACAGAGGGAAAAAAGGGGCCCCACAATATAACTTGCAATGTAGGTCCCACGGATATCCATAATTTTAAACACCACCACTACCACTGATACGACAGAATTCAACAGTCAAACATAATCCAAAACGACAGACACACAAAACGCCAATCCCAAAATTTTAAATTAAATACACAATTAATTGACTAATTAGTAAGTAATTAATTTACCTTGACCGGAAAAGTTCCCGCCGGAAATTTAGTAGTGAGCAATTCACGCATTCTCCTAACGGCTTTGACTTTGTTCGCCAAAATGTCAAGTAACGGCATTACCTCCTCAAGCTTTAGCGGAAACTGTTCCGTTAACCAAACTGACGGCTTCAAACTCCTCACATACTCTTTCTCCTTCACTTTCTCCGGCACCGCCACCACCCTCCTCCTCCTCTCTGCCACTGTAGACGACGGATATATATCCACACTCTTCCTCCCTACGCTTACAAACTCCCTCTCCTCCCTCACGAAACTGCTATGCCTCCTTTTACTATCATTTCCATTATTAAATTCAAAATTAAGAAAGCTGTGGTTTTCAGCTACTAAAAAACCGTCATCGTCTTCGTCAAGCTCTAACGGCAAAACTTGCTCGCTTCCCGCGACGTCGTTTTCGCTGACTTTACGAGATCGGAAGCTAAAGAGGACGTTGTTTAATTCGTAAACTTTAGCTTTCCATTCGCCAACAGACTCTGTTTTCTCTTGCCGTCTCCAATTTGTTCGGCTTATTAATTCGGCTTTAGTAACATCCATGCCGGGACGGTACACGCTTGTTTGGGAGCAGAATCCGGCGATATCAGACTCGCTCATCGGAGCTCCGGCGGATTCGAATGCGTCAAAGATTTTACGTTCATCATGGTTCAGAACTAAGAGAGAACCGGGAGGAATGGAGTGTGCTTGATCACCGTCGCCGAGGAAGAGGAAACTTTGATCGGCGCGTTGGATTTTCAAGCCGTCAAAGCCAGCTAAGGTAGTATCTGCTCGGAGATTAGCGTCACGTTTCCAGATCTTATAAGTGTCCGATGGAGCAAGCTTGTTTACAAAAGGGATGACTGAACTTTCAAAGTGGAACGAAATTCCCATGTAGAAATCACGCATGCGGCGGAGGACGGCAGTCAGACGAGGCAGACGCCGGCGCCACTTGGACCAGGCGGAGCGGTGGTGGAGACGGAGGAGAATGAGAGCGATTTCTGAGTACCGGCGACATAATGCTTCCTGCAGTGGGTTCCAACCAGCTGAGTTCTGTAACGACACGTCAGCGCCAGCAGCTGCGAGGGATTTGGCAGCGAAGAGGTCGTTTAAGCGGACAGCAAGGTGGAGAGGTGTTTCACGGTAAGGGACATCACGGCGATCTACGAGAGATGAGATTTTGTCAGCGAGTTGCTCTTGACTCAGTGAGTCTGACTCGGTGTGGATTTTGGTGGGGTCAGTGAGTTTGGGGAGAGTGGAGAGGAGGCGGGTGAGTGTTGTGTGGTCGCCTAATACGACGGCGTAGTGGACTGGACTGTGAGAGTAGGATTCGTGTTTTATGGAAGGAGACGGTGTCGTTCCTGTGGAAGACGACGACGCTGAAGAGGATTTGGACATTGTTCAGTTCTGGTCTTGTTAGAGAGGAAGTGAGGAGAGAATAAGAGGAGACAAGAAAATGATTTTTGAAGAGAGACGAAGACAGTTATGTCTGGGTTGTGTCTTATTTTTGACCGATGAAAGCATATAATGGCCGAGCAACTGTTCTTTTTATAATGAAACTTAATTTTGAATTTAATATTTTCTGAATTTTTTTATAAATTTAATCTATATATTTTTTAAATATAATAATCATATAAATAGTTTTATAATAAAAATCATTCAGTAAAATTTCTTTAATTTTTTTTTAAATTTAGATCACTTTAAGATTTTTAATTTTTTTAAATTTTTTGTGCTAAAAAATAAATGATATACTTCTTGATCATTAAAAAATTCAGAATTTTTCAAAAGATATATTGAATAATTTCCAACGTATGCACAAAAATTCTGCTCAAATGAACTAAAAATTAGAAATTCAAATCATAATTTTCAAATTACTATAATTCAAGAAATGTTTGGTCTCTTTAGTTGTTTTATAATTTATTCTATAAAAAATATTAAATAAATAAATTAGTCCATCTTAGTTATAAAAACGAATTGATTATTCATCTTTCTTTCACAAACTAATCTTTAGTGTTCATCTTTTTTATTTTATCAATAACTTAACTTTTTCATCAATTTTATGTTAGATAAATATTTTGTTCTCAAATTATCTTTTTATATATTTTTTTTGATTGAGAAGAGATAAAGTGATCGAGTTATTGAATAAAAAAAATATCAAAAAATGATCAGGATAGAATTATCAATAACTTAATTTAATAAAAAATGAGATGATTAAGTTATTATTATAATAAAAATATAAAAAATTAATTTTTAAAGTAAAAATTTATTTATTTATTTATTTCAAAACCAGAAGGAATAATTTATAATTTAGTCAAAATATATTAATATGATCTAATGGTTTTGGAAAGGGTAGAATTGTCATTTAGAACGGGGCGATTTTTGTTTTATTGGAGACTGTGCAAAAGAAGAGAGGGTAGATACAGGCAACCCTGTCTTTGGCTCGACTTTTCTTGATTCCCTCTTGCGTGGCAGGAGATATAGAGAGCAGGAAGAGGAGCCCGTGGATGTTTTCTTCACTTGTCAGAAATACCATGTACTCCTACTCTCTTTTGCCTTCGGTTTTTCTTGTCTTTTTCCTCATTTTGTTTTTCTTTTTTCGTTCGTTCTGTGTTTTTGCTTTCTTTTTTTTTTTCAGATTTGGTACTGATTTTTGACCCAATGATTGAGCTTTTGAAATTAAGAGTGAATTCATGAACTAATGATAAAAGAGGCTCCTTTTCCAAGCTGGTATATCATCGTTTGAAACTCACCATTTATTTCCTTTTCAAGGCTGTTCAACCTTGTGATAAAATAGGGAAAATATGTGTTTTGATTTTTGAATTAGACGTTCAAAATTATTTTTAAGGAAAAAATTGAACTACCTAGTTTTTTTAAAAAAAATAATAATAATTCAATCACGTAACGCTTATTATATATAAAACTAATCACAAAATGATAGCTTATTAATAAATAAATGTTGATTTATAAATCATGTTTAGGATTCGATTTTTGAAATCAGTATTTTTTTTTAATCTATTCTCATAATATCTAAAATCGTTAGTTGAAAGAATCTTTTAGCCACGTAAAAAAAAAAAAAATAGTCTCAAGATGTTCAAAATCTAGTTAAAAACATCCTTACGGTTGAATCTAAAGAAAAAAAAAATCTACAGAGCTATGTTTGGCAATCCTAATAAACAAGCTTTCTCTCTGCAATTTCCTAAAGGAGAATATGTGAAAGATAGGTACAAAAGTAAGAAGACAATTAAGGGTAGTAAAAAGAGAATGGATGTGGGAATAAATTATAAAATATAAATTAGTCCCTTTACTTTTTAAAAAAAAGAATTAAAGAATTAATTTTTATATTTTCAATTTATTGGTAACTTAATTCTTTGTATTTTTTTTTCAAATCATTTTATTATTTCTTATTTAAGAAATAGAAAACATTAACTAAAAATATGGAAAGATCGATAAAAAAGAAGATATTTTCCGAACTATCCAATTTTTTTTTAAAAAAGAAAAAATAGTAGTTCAAATACACAACACTTATTATATGTACAACTAATCATAAAATAATAGTTTGTTGATAAACAAACGTTGATTTATAAATTACGTTCGGGATTCGATTTTTGTAATTAATATTTTTTTCAATTTATTTTTAGAATATCTAAAATCGTGAATCGAAGAACCTTTTAGTCACGTTAAAAAAAAAAAAAATTAGTCTTAGGATGTTGAAAATCTAGTTAAAAACATCCTTACAGTTGAATCTAAAGAAAAAAAAATATCTACACAGCAATGTTTCGCAATACTAATAAACAACCTTTCTCTCTACAATTTCCTAAAGGAGAATATGTGAAAGATAGGTACAAAAGTAAGAAGACAATTAAGGGTAGTAAAAAGAGAATGGACGTGGGAATAAATTATAAAATATAAATTAGTCCCTTTACTTTAAAAAAAAAAAAAGAATTAATTTTTATATTTTCAATTTATTTGTAACTTAATTCTTTGTATTTTTTCCAAATTATTTTATTATTATTTATTTAAGAAATAGAAAAAAATTAACTAAAAATATGGAAAGATCGATAAAAAAAGAAGATATTTTTCAAAAATAAAATAAAATAAAATTAACCATAATTAATACTGGTTGAAGGACTAATTAATTAGTTTTTTTAAATAAGAAAAATATTTAATTCATTTTTTTAAAACTAAAGGAACTAATTTATAATTTACTCTAAATGGGTACTTTGCTACTTAATCCAATTGACTAATCTTGATAAGAGAACAGTAATTGTCCAATCTTCTTAGTGGATTGTACAGAAGATTTTAAGCAAATCTAGATTATGCTGGTCTAAAATGATTAGTAGGGTTAAGTTAAAAAGAAAGAACAATCTCAAAGCATTCCTTTGTCGTGACCAGAAGCAACCAACAACAGAGGAACCTGTCTGCATTAACCCAGACCAAATCCTAACGGATTTCACTCCCTTTCAGACCATACACACATCGTAAGGGAAACCAAACCCAGCTATTGGCCATTTTTGCTTGTAAGTTTCTAATTTCTTCCTGGGCCCTTCTTGTTCCTTTTTTTTTTTCAATATTTATATATTTACAAGTAAAACAGGTATTTTCATATTAGATTCCGCATAAATCAAAATTAAGTCCTTTTTTTAACTTAAGTTAATTTTAATCAAACTTTTTAAACCAACTAATAATCCATTTCCAATGCCACAAAAAAAAAAAAAAAATGGGAATCGAACTTTTAACCTAATAAGTTATATATACTCTTTTGTAAAACATGTATTCATGGCTTGTAATGTCCATCTTTATTATGAAATTATTTTACTCCATAGTTTGCTAACATTTATACATCTTTGTTAACTTTGAGAGTTATTATTTTCATATGAAGCCTTGGCTTCGTGCCTATAATGATATATTATTATATTACATTTTATTCTAGCATCCAAATTACTCCTTTTATTGTTAAAAATTGTCTTTTTTTTCATTCTGATTAAAAAGATTATTAATTACTATGTTATACTAACACGTTTTGTTCGTAATTTTTTTTTAAATTATATATAGACAAAATTTTACAAAATGAATTTTAATTAGGATTTTTTTAAAAAAAATACATTGTTTAAAGTTTTGACAACAGAAATATTTTAAAACAAATATATATATATATATCTATAGACAATCTTTTTGAAACGAAAGAAGTATACAAAATTATAAATTTGTATATAAGAATCTCTATTCGATTTTAAAAATATCTCACACAACGTGCTACAATCCAATGTACAACCAAATTATAGAGTATTGACTTATCAATAAATAAATAAATTGTTCAATTTAAATATAATTTATACACTAGTTTGTTGTTTTTATATCCCATAATTTAAGGTAGAAAATAATAGTGCCAAGCACCAATAATCTTCATTTTCTTTGCTCGAATGCCTATAAGACTAAATCATACCTAATATGTTATATTACCATAACAATCTAATATGATATACCTTAAATATATCGTTTTAAATTATGGTTCATTTTCAATTCAATAATGTTAATTAACAATTAATTTTATCCAAATTTGGTCCCTGCACTCTTTCCTTTTTTTTTATTTGAGCTTTCTACTTATCTAATTTTTTTTTATTTGAACTTTCTACTCTTTCAATTTTTTTTTTTTATTATTCTTCTACTCTTTTTCTTACTAAAAGAGTTTTTCTATTCTTTATTTCGTTTTGTAAGAGTACTTCTATCATAAAATCATGAGTTCATACGCCTACCCCATATGACACCTTTCTATTAGAGTTACTATTCAATTTATGAAATTATATAATTTTTTTAAAAAAAAACAAAGAATAAATACGTGAAAATTATTTTAATTTAATTAATTAGATTTGTTTAGGTTTTTTTTTCCCCTTAGTTAACGTACTTTCCTTTAATCATTTAATTTTTACTTCAAATGGGTAAATTTAAAAAATGAAAGTTACTAGATTATGGGTGATTAAGAATTTAACTCAATACTCTGAAAAAAAAAGAAGATATTAAGTAAGTGTATGAACTAATAATATATAACCGGAGAGAGACATTCAATAACAAAACGAGGAGTAGAATGGCTAATTAATATAGGAAAAGAGAAAAGAAAAAAGTAAGAGATCCAATTAAAAAAAAATTAAATGAAAAGTCTCAAAGCATCATGGTTGATTTGGGTTCAAAATGATTAGTGGGGTTAAGTAAATCAGGATTATGCTGGTCTAAAATGATTAGTAGGGTTAAGTTAAAAAAAAGAACAGTCTCAAAGCATTTCTTTGTTGTGACCATAAGCAACCAACAACAGGGGAACCTGTCTGCATTAACCTAGACCAATTCCTAACGGATTTCACTCCCTTCCATGCCATACACACACCATAAGGGAAATCAATGCCAGCTATTGGCCATTTTTGCTTGTAAGTTTCTAATTTCTTCTTGGGCCCTTCTTGTTATTTTATATAAATATATAATCACCTTCATAGCATGTTTAATTTTTAATCAATTTTAAAAGTCTGATTTTTTTTTAAATTTATTAACAATTCATTTTTAGTGATCGAATTTTTTTATCTCATTAACAGATCATGTCCAGTGCCACACTTAAAAAATAATAATAAGTATCGAATTTCTAACTTAATGAGTTAAATACACTCCTTTTGTCGCTCCATCTACAATTTTCAATTCCTTTTTATTAATTTAATCTTACATTATGATTGATTTGGATTCAATTTTACACTCTTTTTAAAAAGTCTCTGTCTAATTATTGAATTCTTTGAGCACATCAACAACTCATGTCCAATGCCAAAAAAAAAAGAGAGAAAGGTGAGAAAATTAAATAGACTCTTCTTTCCATTCCATAGAAAATTACTTTACTCCCTAGATTTACTAGCTAGAATCTATACATTGTCGTTAACTTTGAGAGTAATTATTTTCATATGCAACACTGGCCTTGTTAATACAATGAAAAATTATTATATTAATTTTTTTAGCACTTAAGTTATTTTCAATGTTCCAAAGAGTTTGTCCTCTCTAACTTCGTATATTGATTAAAAAAAATTATCAATTGTTATGCCATATTAACGTGTTTTATTCGTGCTTTCTTAAAATATTTTTTTATTTAGAATTGTATTCAGACAATCTTTTACAAATAAATTTTAATTAAAAATATTTTAAAAAATACATTATATATGTGTGTGTGTTTGTGTGTAATCTCTTCAAAAAGAAGGAAGTAAGAAAAATTATAAACTTGTATATATTAGAAATATTTCACATAACATGCTGACCTCATTACAAATATGAATCATTTTTTAATTGAATATTATAAAATTTTCAATTTTAGATAAATTTTAACTTTCGTGGTAAAAAAAGCTATCTCTACAACGTTAATCACAGCCCAAATACAAGCTGTTGATGTAATAAATATATTTGCATATTAAATATTCTATGATTTAATTCCCAAACTCAAGACGAAAAAAAAGAAAAAATGAAGACGAAAAAGCAAAATGAAGATAAAAAGACAAATAGATTTTAAAGGGCCAGCCAAAAGGAAGATTGAAAGCATCTTTCCGAGTAGCAATAACAATAAAACGACTGATCATTTGTGAGCATGTGAAGAAGAGCTCCATCGATGATGTTCTTCGTTTCTTTGTTGCACAAGCTCCTCATCAGTGTCATCCCATCAGTCCTTGCTCGTATTTTCTTTCAACTAATGATTTGATCTTTTCCTCTATCAGTGTGTTTATTTGACATATATTTGAGTTTAGAAAATGGCAGGTTTTGAGTTTTTTTAAAAAATATTAATGGCTAAATTTGTTTTTATATAATAAGATAATTTTTCAATCTAACTTTGTATATTTAATTGTATCCTTAAATATACATAAGTTTCTACTATATTTTTTTGACAGGATTTTCAGGTCAAACTATCGAAATCAATCACTTAATTTGCATATGATTAGTTTTTATTCTCGAAATATACTTAGAAATCAGACAAATGGAAGGCATTCATATGACAATCATGTGACTAATTCCGATGATTTGACTTAAAAATCTTACCAAAAAGATAAATTAGAAATTTAACTTATATTTAAAAGTAAAATTGACTCAATTAAAAAATAAGGGCAAATGGAAAAATTATGCTATCATATAAGGACAATTTGAGCTATTAAAAAAACAAAGAAAAAGACAAAAATAGAGATTTATTTGTCTTTGGTAACCTATTCTAAACAATATATAGTCTTGTAACTTTTTTTTTTTTTTGGATCCCTAAGGTATCTTAGGATCAAGATTCAAACTAATCTTTCTTTTTTTTTTTTTTTATTTATGTACAAGGAGACATAGCTATTCAGAGAGTGTTTTATATATTTAAAGACTCAAACTTGAAATCACTTGTTTAAGCAACTATAACATCTTTCGCTCAAGTCAATCGTCTTGGCTATAGTCTTGTAACTTTAATACACTTAAACAATAATTTTATGTATCAACTAAAACTGCCTTCGTAGCTTTTTCACCTATAGGTAAGCCTTTTTTTTTTCTTTGTTCATCTTTTTTATCGAATATGTTGCTAATCGATTTTTTGGTGAAGATTTTTCTTACAACGAGAACACTCATTCTCATGCAAATTCATTGACAAATGAGACTGAAGAATTGACCTTTATAAAAAAAAGTGTTAACTGTATATAACGGATCTTCACCAAGAAAATGATTAGTGATAGATTTAAAAGAAAAACGGATAAAGGAAAAGAAGGCTTACCGATGGTGAAAAAGCTACAAAAACAATTCGAGTCTCGATTAGAGTAACAAGCTCACTAGCCTTTTTATAGATTCCAAACATAGCCTTAGAAAATGTTAAAAAGTAGGTAAATCCATATACAATATCTAATTCACAAGTAATATTAGTAATTGGCCTTTTCATCGATGGTTATGGTTTTCGAGCTATGATAGTGGTAATAGCGTGTTGAGAAGAGCCTTGACTCTTGATTTGTTTTTGGGAGAGAAGAACACTGCTTTGCGGGTGTAATAGGTCACATGGATCTTATGTGGCAAATTTAGTTATGTTATCATGTTCCATCACATATCACGTCATGTTAAAATGAAATTTAAGTAAAAAAAATTTAATTATGAATGATCGTTTGCGAGCATGTGAAGAAGAGCTCCATCAATGATGTTCTTCATTTTTTTGCTATATAAGCTCCTCGTCATCATAGTCTTCCCATTAGTTCTTGCTCTCATTTTCTTTCAACTGATCAATTGATCTTTTCCTCTATCAATGTGCCATTTTGACGTATGTTTGAGTTTGGGAAAAGGTAGGTTTTGAGTTGAAAAAAAAAATTAATGGCTCAATTTGTTTTTTATCTTTAATTGAATCAATTTTATATTTAAATATACATTAAATTCTTACTCTATCTTTTTGGAAAGATTTTCAATCCAAACTTTTGAAATAATCACCTGATTTACACATGGCTATTTGTTATTCTCAAAATATATTTTCAAACTAGATAAACAGAAACCAAGAAATGTGGTCCAACGGCAAAAAAAAAAAATTACCTTGATTTGGTCAAAACCAAAATTCAATTCTCATTATTTATGAATAACTAGACATAATTATTTTTTATTAGTACCAAACTTGGGTTCATTTGATTTTAAAAAGAGTCTTGTAGTCGACGGAAGACTAAACTTGTTTTAGCACTAGCTTAGCTCATGAACTACTTGTAAAAAAAAAAAAAAACCCAAACAAATAGAAGACATTAACGTGATAATCACGTGATTTGGTGGTTTGACTTAAAAATCTTGCTAAAAAGATAGATAAGAAATTTAACATATATTCAAGAATAAAATTAGCTTAATTGGAAACAAAATGACAAATTGAAGAATTATACTACTAAATAAGGATAATTTGAGCCATTAAAAAAAAAAAAAGACAAAAATTGAAATTTATTTGTGTTTGGTAGCTTGTTCTAAACAATATATAGTCTTGTACTTTAACACACTTAAAAAATAATTTTGAGTATAAACTAAAACTGCCTTTATAGCCTTTTCACCTGTAGGTAAGCCTTTATTTTCTTTGTTCATCTTTTTATTGGATTTGTTGCTAATCGATTTTTTTGGTGAAGATCTGTCTTACAACGATAACACTCATTCTCATACAAGCTCATTAACAAATGAGATTGAAGGATTGACCTTTATAAGGATAAGTGTTACCTATATATGACAGTTCTTCACCAAGAAAATAACCAGCAATAGATCCAAAAGAAAGATTAAAAAAAAAAAAAAAAGGCTTACCGACGGTGAAAAAGCTAGAAAAACAAATTGAGTCTTGATGAGAATAACAAGCTCATTCGCCTTTTTATAGATTCCAAAAATAAACTTGGAAAGTGTTAGAAAGTAGGTAAATCTATATACAATATCTAATTCACAAGTAATATTAGATATTGATTGTGTCTCTTTAATTTTATTCTTAATTTAAAAGGTGAAAATCTGTGTATTTTTAATAAAAAAAATAAAAGTAATATATATATATATATATATATATATATATATATATATATATATATATATATATAATTTATTTCTACAATATCTAATTTGCGAGTAATTTTTTTCTACAATAATTAGATATCGACGTGTCTCTTTAATTCTATTCTTAATTTACAACATAAAAATCTGAGTATTTTTTTTAAAATAAAACAAATAAAAGTAATATATATATAGACAATTTTAAAAAATATATAATGAGAGGATGAGGTCTAATTATCAAACTATATTGCTGATTGTGATGTTTCAAAAAGTGCTTCACAAATATTCATAAAAAAACATAACAAAGAAAAACACTTAAAATTTTTGTATTTTTAAGCATTTTTGCAATACAAAAATTTTACCATCATTATTGCAATAGCTGTTTACAATATCTATTTTACTAAATAGTAATGCTAAATATTAAGAAAATATGATAAGAAAAAAAATAAATATACACATTTGTTTTTATATAATACTCAAAGTCTTTTATATGTTCAATCTGTCATTTTAATCGATTTTTCGACTAAATAATTTTTTTTGTCAAAATACACCTAATTGAAATGCAAATAATAATAATAATAATAATAATAATAGTAATACGGACTTTAAAAATATAACATGTAGGTCATATGACCTTTAATTTTATTTTTTTTTCATTTTAGTAAAAGGCATTTTGATAAACAAAAATCCATGGTTGAAAAATTTGTTCGAAATGTCGGATTAAATATTTAAAATTTTTTTAAAAAATATATGGAATTCAATTAAAAATATAGAGATATATTAGAAACTTTGAGTACTATATAAGGACGAGATAAATATATTTAAAAATATAACATATAGGTCATATGACCTTAAGTGTTTTTTTCTTTTTCATTTTAGTAAAAAGCAATTTGGTAAACAAAAATCCATGGTTGAAAATTTTGATCGGAATGTCAAATTAAATATTTTAAATTTTTTAAAAAATATATGGAATGCAATTGAAAATGTAAATATATATTAGAAACTGAGTACGGGATAGATAAGTATATTTGTCTAAAAAACATTATCATAAATGCACATGGATAGTTAGATCCGTGGGACCTCAAACTAGGTCGTATTTTATAATCATAATCTAGTTGTTGATGTGTATTTTTGATATTTTTTTCTTGTCATATGTTTTTTATATTTAACATTATTCTTTACAAAAAACAAAATTTAACAAATTGAATAATGATTATAGTGATATGAAAAAAGTTTTATTATTGTAATATTTGCAAAGAAACGTCCATGAGCTTTAACTCAAATGGCATGATGTTGTCTTTATCAAATTTTTTTCATAAATTAAAACATAAAAAAAAATTCTTTTTATTAATCAATTGAGTTCACTTATATTGAATTATGGCCATACAACATAGATATATAAATTAAATTAATGCCATATCGATGGAATATCTTATAATGTTAAAGTTGAATTTTTTTAAAATGATCTAGGAAAATGGAAATTCCATGTTAAATTAAAAATAAGTATCATCTCAATTTTACATTTTAAAACATGAAGGACTAATTTATAATTTTGTTCAAAATCAAGAGATTAAAGAATAATTTACTCTATTTTTTGTAGCCAGTGATTTAAAGGACCAATTCGTACAACCTCGTTGGTCCTTCAAGGTCACACGTGCCTTATTATAAGATTTAATTAAACTCTCGATTCATAACCTTATTAAATAAATAAATTAATTAAAGTAGCTTACATTAAAAAGGAAAAAGGCAAAAAAACAAAGTGCACCTACTGGTCACCACCTTCTGCCACCATTGGTCCTCCAACCGATGCCGTCTTCCACCAATAAAGCAGGAGTAAATTGTAAATTGGTCATTTTTATTTTTAGAAATATATTAATCAGTCCTTCTTGTTTTAAAAATTATTTATTTATTTATTTTCATTTTACGTTATTGCTATTTTATTTTATTTTAAAAATTAAAAAAATAGATATTATGAAAAGATTCATGAATAAAAATAAAAATATTTTTTGAAATAAAGTAATATTAAATTAAATATAATCAACGCATTATCAAATGACTAAATAATTATTTTTTAAAACAAAAGTGACCAATTAATTTATTTTTTGAAATTAGAGAGACTAATTCCTAATTTACTAATAAAGCAACCATCCAACAATTATATTCAAACCCCTCAATTTCTCGACCCATCAACCTCTCTACTTGTCTCTATATAAACTTATTTCCAAGGTTATATTGAAGCTGTTGATTTGGTTATTTAGGATGGTAGTAGTAGTTTTGAAGGTAATGGAGATTTTAACTAGGGACTAAAATTGAAATCTTATAACTTTCAAGGAGTTGATTGAGAAAGAAAAAGAAGAAAGATGGGCAAACCTCTACTGGATGGTAGTACCATTTTTGCCCTCAAACTAGTTTTTGCTGCAATTTTATTCTTTTGTTATTTTAATTTTTCAATTATGAAAAATATTAAGTTGCCTAATAAATGATACTCTCCCTATTTCAAAGAGATTGTCATTTTTTGTATTTATATATTTTTCAAAATATTTATCTGGTTAAAATTTTTAATATTGTATTCTCTTAAAATACTTATATTTTGTAATGCAAGATTATATTAGATAAATTTTCTCCTTAAACAAAAAGAGGTATTTAGAAAAATAATGTTAAAATATATTGATATGATATCTTAACTAATAAGTTTTTTAAACTGATCGAAAAAAAAAAACAACATACTATCATTTTGAGACAAAATAATATATTCTTTTATCACCAAAAAAATTTATTTTATTTCAAAAAAATGTCTTCTTTTATCACCAATCTTTCTATACTTTTTACTTATTTTTTTTAAAATAAAAATCAAACTAAAATGAAAAGAAACGAAAAGATTAAGTTACAAGTAGATTTAAAAACATAAAGACTAATTAATTATTTTTTAAAACTAGAGGGACTATTGAATTCTTTTGAAAAAATGAAGGGACTAACTCATAATTTACTCGTATTTATACATGTATGAACATGTGTATATTTATTTGCATGAGGTAGAACCCAATATCCAGACAGGACATTGAAGACAATGAACATGACAACTTCAAGTTAAAATTTGGCAAGGGGTACGTAACTAGAAAGAGTTAAGTTTAGTTGGATGCCAAAAATAGTTTTCTTCGTAAGAAGGAAAGACACAAGTGAGTTGGCAGGTCTTTGTTTTTTTAAAGCATAAAATGGAGTTAAAGACAGCCTATCCTAAGGTGGCTTCTTTTCTTTTTCATTAGCTTAAAGGTCCCTCCCTTGAGCCTTTAATCATTCTCCATTAACGCTTCCATCAAGTTTCTCAATCTAAGCCAAGGCTGATCACCACAAGGTAAACCCTTTCTCTTTCCCTTTCACCCACCAAATTAATGTACTTCCTCGATCTTCTCTTTGATTGTGTTTTTGTCGATGTTGAATATGTTTTTGGTTTGGATCTGTTGTTCCTTTTGCCTCCATAAGATGCATGGTTATGTCGATGGGCAGAACTTAGGTCTCCTCATGCATTTGAATATGTCTTCTGCGTTTCTTGAAATGCTTGCAAATATGACCATGAAGTAGTTTCCTTGTCTTGATCCTTTAGTTCTCCTATTTATTTGGGTTAGTTGGATCTATACTTTCCTTTTGATGTATGCAAAAAATACTTGTTCTTAGATTCTTGGCTTTGTCGAAGGATAACAGGAAACCATGGCAAGTGAAGCCCCAACCTGGGCAGATCAATGGGGTGAAGGAGGCATTGGTTCCATGGAAGAAGACAATTACACGACCAAACAAGATGCCAGCAACAAGAAGAAGTCAGACGGAAAAGGAGGATTAAACAAAGCCAAAGCAGCTGCCATGTCTGGGGCTCAAAAGCTCAAGAGTGGAGCATCCAACAGCTTCAAATGGGTCAAAAGTAAATGCCAGAAAAAATAATCTTTAAAACGATTGATATGTAATCAAAATGGGGTCATGTTATAACAGCAACAACAGATGATTTTCTGGCAGATCATGTTATGGGCTGCCATTAATGCTTCCCTTGTCTTCCTCTTTTTTTATCGCATACATCTGTCTAGGAGGTTGTTAGAAAGCCAATTGGCTCACAAAATAAACAGATCGGCACACAAAGCAATCAACATTTTCCATTCCAAAGCATGCATCAATTGCAGCATCCAATTCAATCTTAATAACGCACATAAACCGCTATTTTTGGGAAGTTATTAGTCACCCTCAGCTGTGGTAACAGCTAGTTGAACGACTCTTTCTGGTTGAGATGGGCAGGCACCTTCTAAATATTCCAGCTCCAGAAAAGGGGAAAAAAGGAACGATCTACGTCCATCATTTCGCTAGCATGGAAGCACATCAGTATTGAGCTTCTATTGAATGGAAGAAAAATCTTCCTCATTAAAAGGTGGTAGAGATCAGATTAGAAACACATCAGTATTGAGGTTCTATTGAATGAAAGAAAAACTTCCACATTAAAGGGTAGAGATCAGCTTAATAACAAGACTAACGAAACCTCCCAAGAATTTATTTTCGTTGCTTTTGGTCATAGTTGTTATTGCTAAAAGGAGAATCAAGAGAACAGGTTTCACTTTGTATCTTTGTACTCCAAGCAAAGAGCTGCCAAACCAACTAGCATGGGAAAACCAAAAAAATAAAAGAAAATTGGAGAAGCACTGACAAAATGAATCTATTCATCCATTAAAATATTTTATTATCTGCAATGATGCCATGTTATCCATTCATCCATTCAATTCAATGCCATAAATCAAATAACTTCCATTATCTACTCAATGGCATGATCAAAACTAAAGGGAATAGATAAAAAGTCAGAGCTTATGCTGAGTACTAAGAATATACATCTTCCAGGATTCATTTACACAGATTGATGATACAATCTAGTGCAATCCAAAGGTATTCTCCCCACTGTATGTCATGTACAGAAAACCATCTTCATCCTTGTTTTCCTCGTAGATTGCAGACATCAATGAAGCTAAAAAAAAAAAAAACAAGAAGAAAATTACCAACATAACTCATAGAACATTGACTTACATATTGAATGTTACAGAGTACTACTCACCAGTGGGAGGCAGAGTGTTTTTTACAAAGACAAATATAGCCTTTTCAGGACTGAGCTTGATCCTTTTCCGGACAACATAAACAAACTGACCGACAGTCAAATCAGCTGGGACGAGATATCTGAATTCACAACAACAGAGGGGTAATTAGAACAAAAGGGAGTGTGGAGTAAAAATTGAAATCCCCTTTCTGGTGTACAGAATTTGAGTCAGCAATACATCGTTACTGCTGCTAAATACTCGATTTGTTAACTGAATACTAGCAGAAGTTTCAAAATGTTATCATACCAACATATGACTAACAATAGGCAAAAAAAATGTTGCTAAAAAAATAAAAACAGCGATAGTAATGGTCAACTAATATCCAAGAGGAGCTCCTTCAAATAAAGATAACTTTGTTCTGTATCTTTAAGATGCAAGAGCATATGAAACTGGAACTAACTTCTTCTTATCAATGTCAGGGACATCACTCCTTTCAGCCTTTTCCACAATCACCTGCACAGTGCACCACATGCCTGGTTAGAAGGAAAAGTACTGTCAGAATAACTAGAATATGTAGAATCTATATTGCCAGCTGATGTTCTTACGGGTACTCTATCAGGATATTTCTCTCTGATGCGAGAAGCTTCTGCTTGCCTCCTCTCTGAAGTAAGATCAAATCTTAGATAGAAGGTAGACACATTTATATAAGATCAACATGTTGACTTCACTTTCGACATAAATGGTTAACATAAAATAGATACTCCATGACCAAATCAAAGAACTACAACATCAACAGAAACAATCTGCACCTCATTATTAGTTTGGATTCTTTCTATATAATGTTCAGGAATCAAAAAGGAAAAAAAAAAAAAAGTAATTTCATTTTGTAGTCTTTAAGAAATCCAACCAATTGAGTACAATCAAAGTCACAACATTCAAATCTCAACCTAAAATTTCATTCCTTTCATGTCATCAAGGAAAAGAATAGACGAAACAGCAGATGGAATCCATGGAATGTCCCAAGTCCCAACTACAACAAACAATGAAATTAGCCAGATGGCTTGATCACATTAGCACATAGCTAACTCATGAGTCTCATACCAAAGGTAGAAGTACACCTTGTCTCCGAATATCAAATTGTATTTAAGCCCAAGAGTTCCCAAATAAATAATCTCTTTTCCATATCAAATGAAATCTCACCTATGATAAAACCACATTAAACCCAGGAATCTCATTCCAAAAATAAACCTAATCTGCAGATATGAAACTAACAACCCACCTAAGGAAAAAACCACAGTATGATCAAGCCCACCAACAAAAAGAAGACAAAAAGATCATCAAAACAGTAACTTCAACGCCAAACAGCTCAAATTATAAATGATCCTAATCACAAGCTCTTATTATTTTTTATTTTTTTCAATTGAAATGATTCAAATAAAAGCCACAGTATTTTCCACAACTCCTCAAATAATCCAATTAACAGTCAACCATAAAAACACGAAATTTAAACTACCCAAATCTATAGCCAAGACGAAAGTGATCAAAACAAAAATATGGGTCTCAACAATTCAATCGAAACAGTAACAAACAACCAAAAAAAAAAAAAAAAACTAACCCAAAGTATGATCAAGCTTGAATGAACTTCTAGCCATGGTGGTGGTATCAAGACAGGAACTTTTATAATTCACTGAAAATTTCAAACACCAAAACATCATTAAAATCCTCTGTTTCACTGAAACCCCACAAAATTCAATCTTTTTATCAAAAAAATAACAACCAACTACATGAAGTTTCAATATTTTTATAAAAAAACCCAGATAAAGTTTGAAACTTTAAAACATACCTAACAGAAGGTGACTTGGGTTTTGATTGATTGATCGAAATGAAGATAAAGAAAAGAAAGCAAGAACCTAAATGGGTCAATATCAAAGGGAGAATAATTCGATGTTTTTGTTTCTAAAGAGTGTGTGTTTTTATGTTTAAGGGAGGGAGAGGTTAGGGTAACTTGATAGGGTTTCAATTTGATGCCAACAAGAAACCTATTGGTTTGGTACTAGGAGTGTCTTAGGAGATTGTATTGTATATCGAACAATACTTGGCCAGGTTGCCTCCTTGTCAAGAAAGAATTCTGGTTTGAGTCAGCAAAATCATGATGGTGCCTCTAGGTTGGGCTTGGGTTAGCCAACTAGGTATGCATGATAAATTGGGGCCAAGAGAATTTTATTGGTCGGCTAACTAGGCTCGCTCTATTGTCCAAACGTTGGCTTCGTAGAGTTAATGCTAAAAAAAAAAAAAAAAAAAAAAGAAGAAGAAGAAGAAGTCAAATGTTCTATACCCTTTAATTCATGATTATTTCGGATTTAAATTTAATGAAAGCATGAGAAAAGGATAGTTGTTGATGATTATGTTGATTGGGATATTGATGATATATATTAAGATTCAAGATTTAGTTTTAATCATGAAAACTAAAATGGTGATTTAAGGTTCATTGAGGAAAAAAAACACAAACTTTATATTTTTTAATCATATCAGTATTTTTTTTAATATTAAATAAAAAATATGCAAATTAAACTTTTATTAATTATATTAACACACGAAAATTTTTTTTTGCTAAAATTTTATTATCGATTGACGTGATAGAATTTTTTCGATAAAAAAAATCATTGAATCGAGTAGTTCACAATTAACTATGATTGATTGAGGACTCTTCATGATTCAACTTGGTCTTCTTTGTCTTTGAAATTGTATTGTTAATAGTTTGTCAGAATTTTGATAGGAAAAATTCAGAAGTGCTAACGTGGTTAACAAAAGGTTAGTTTGTGTATTTTTCGTCTAATATTGAAAAAACATACTAATATAATTAAAAAGTCTAAAACGTGTGTGTTTTTTTTATTCAATCAGCCTATTTTTAAAACTCATTAAAATTTTAAAGAAGTTTAATATAAATCTTCAAGTTATAAAAACTTGAATTATATTCTTTAGCAAGGAGAAAGAGAAGTATATATTAGGAGGAATTATTCGTACATGTAAAACAATATTTTCTTTCTTACAAGAACATAGGATTCATAAATTATTTTTATAATGAGTCTAATGTTTTTATAACAGAAGGGAGTACAACTTCTGACATATCTAAAATTTTCTCATACATTAATGTTCTTCTTTTATGAGTACTTAGTGAGTTAATTTTTCTTCTAAAGTTATGTTAAAGTTTACATAAATGGTCTCAGTTTATTTTAAATGTGGCAATTGACGAATTTTTTGGTTGATTGTGAATACGTAATCTAATTTGGCATATTGTGAAGTTGATTAGGTTTTTTTTTTTAAAAAAAAAAAACCCTAAAAAACATGATAATAGGTAAAGTGAATTTCCAAATAAATAATTAGAATAGAAAACTTCTTTAACTCTAACCCAACAGAAAAAAAAAATTCAAAATTAATTTCAAAAGGTTGGCATGTTGGTTAAAGTAAGTATTTTTCTTTCTTAATTTTCTATATTCAAATCTTACGCCAACACCTATAAGATAAATTTCTCTAAATATATCAAGTTGATGCAAGGAATTCATTCTTAAAATCATATAGAAAATAATTTAATCTCGATCAATAAACGATATGAAACGACTTCTTACCATAACATTTTTTTTAAAAAAGTTATGGTTTGGTCACAAATTCATATTTTTTTATTCATAAAGTATCCTAAGTCTCAAAACTTAGATTAATGTCTCGAGATTCAATCGGATGCACAGTACGAATATAGTTATTCAAAAACTTTTCTACATTTATAAAAACTTAAATTATTAAATGACTGATCTGCTTCTTCTCATGCCAATCCTATGGAATACAAATTCATACTTCTATCAGAACCCACTTCTATGGAAGCTCAGTTTTGGGTCCATCGGCACAAATTTGGGCTGGTCAGGATAGTGACTATATGTACATTAGATTGGGCAACAAAATGCATATCAAGCCCAATAAATCACATTTAATTTCACTGCTAGAAAGGGTTTGGAGTTTTCTAGGAACAGGAATGTACATATATGATCTCAACTTGTCCAATGCTATACTTATTGCACCTAACAACATTAAATACTGAACAGTATACAAACAAAAACTTTGTCTAGTCTGTCTACTATGAACAGAAAAAAAAAAAGAATCGAAAACCCTCCAAAATTTCATCTCATCTCAACGTACAAATTAGTATTCTAACTTGATAGTAAGGCATTGACAACTCCTACATCTCTTCTTCTCTCTTCATAAAGTCTCCAGTCTAGTCCTGTTTTTCGGACAGACCAGATACCGAGAGAGTTGTGGATGTGGTCCATCCAGGTAACCCCAATAAAGAGCATCTACTAACCCCTTCAAAACCTTCACAAATCCCTCTCTCTCTTCTTTATTAGAGTTCCTCTCTATGGTTCCTTAATTGGGGTCACAATAAATTGGAATATGGGTCAGTGTTATTCTTCATCATCATCGTCATCAACACAAGGACACAGTAGAGGGGATGATCATGATCATGACCATGACCAGACTTCTTCAAGCTTGAGGAAAAGATGGTTGCTTATGGCAAGAGAGCAAAGGTCTAGGTTCTACATAGTGAGGAGGTGCATTATTATGTTACTTTGCTGGCAGAAATACGGCAAGTATTAATAATAGCACCAAGCTTATTACATATTTGGTTTGCCACTAGCTAGCTACTAATCCTTTCCTTGTATATTGATAGCATGAACAATTTTAGGGCTACAAAACCATCATGAAGGTTGAAAAAACGTCAAAGAAAAACTCCCAAGAAAAGAAACAATTGTAGAAATGAACTATGGGGTTAAATTGCTCGTTTCTCTCTCTTTTGTATGCTAGATTAAGGCTCCAAATGATCAATATGATCATGATTTTTGGGGTGTTTAAGGTTGTACTTTTTTTTTAATGAGATCCTAACTAGGGCATTGACCCTTGAGGATTAGACATTTATTCAGGAGATTGTCATTTAATAAGCCATTAGAATAATGAGTTTTTATTGTATTTAAATTATGTAGCTTTGGAATTTTCTTATTTAAACTTGTTGTTTATTTATTATTTTTTTATTTGATTGAAATTTTTTATTTTTTAAAATTTGTTATCTTAATCTTTCTATTATAATATCATTAATTAGTAATTTATACGTGGTCAAATTTTTTATTTTATTATGTGACTCATGGATTGCTAATTGAGAGCTCAACAAATTTTAAAAAATAAAAAATCTTAATCAAACTAAAAAATAAACATTTCAATAAAAAAATATTTCAAATATGAGTTATACTTTTAGAATAATATTAAAGAATATATAAATATAGAGTAGGGTAGATGGAGTCATAGAGACGGAATAAGTTGCAGGGTTTTCACGTGAAAACATTGATTAAAGTGGGGCTTGTTTTTTATTTTTTTATTTTTTTACTGCAAAGGAAAGCTCAGAAAAGACAGCCATTAATTCACATGGGGAGAAGGACAGCAGATCTTCGGGGTTTGGACACGGGCCAAATTTTGGCAGGACAAGGGTTTGCTTCGGCTTATTGGCTATGTACTTTCTACCTTTCATTAAGACCCATTTCATGCTAGGGTTTAACTGAATTTTATGGTTTCATATATATATATATATATATATATATATCAAGGGAAACAAGTTAAGGTGTAAAACAACGTTAAAAAAAAAGTTTTAGTAATTAGAACTTAAAAATTAGCATGATTTCAAAAATAGATTTTGAAATAATTTAAACATCCAAAATACTAATAATTTAATTAACATATAAAACAATTACTACTAAGTAAACTTAAAAAATAACATAGTTGAAACTTTACGACGAGTGATCATATGTGTCTAAATTTGCATTACGTAAAGGTGATTGGTTCTCACTTTTGTGCTTCTTCTTCTCCACTTCATTTATCAATAAGAATTCCACCAAAACGTTATTTTAACAATCGGGGGTGGCGCGACGATAAGGACTTGGTATCAAAGGGTTTACTCCTCTTGTGGTCTCGGATTCGAGTCCCGATTGCTCTCTTTAGTGATCACTGGAGGCTTACATGATCGTTAACTTCGGGGCTCACGGGATTAGTCGAGGTGTAGATAAGTTGGCCCGAATACCCGTATTATCCAAAAAAAAAAAAAAAAAGAATTCCACCAAAACAGAGTGGGAGACATCAAGATTCAAAACAGCTTGTTTAGGCATACCTGTCTTGTAATGGTTGCAGCCTTTCTTTTTTCTTTTTAATTTAAAGGAGAGATATAGTTCTAAAGAGATTAGTTCATGTCATACATTTTTAGATTTGTAATTCTATGAATATCTTCTATGCAAAGGCTAATAAAACCCAAAAACGTAATTGACAAATAAAAAATACCAAATAGAAAGGAGTAAGTATGGAAATAAATCAATCCCCTACGCAATTGACTTTTCTAGACGTATGAGAAACACAAATTATTCAATCTTGCTAGAGTAGTTTGCGAATATTATAAATCAATTACTAATGAATTCCTCGGCTCTCATCACTAGTATGCAACCTTTCCGTTTAAAATTATGAATTAAAAAAAAAATTGCGTAGAGTTGATCAATATAGATGTTCTTTCCTTACTTCCAATGTCACAGCTAACTAGGGTTTTGCTTCAATGCTGGTTTGTTTCATCTTG